AATGGAAAGTTTGACCACATACAAGGTTGACCAAGATGAAAGGAAAAGTCAAAATGCTGATTATCAGACAAAGGTCAAAGTATTAAACTAAATATCGACTACCAGACGTAGACGAAGAATGTCACGCAATCATCTAAAAAATCAAGCTTCAAAGGAGAATTTGAATATCGTCTACACTCACAGAAAAACACACGAAGTCATTCGAATTATTAGAAGAGAAGAAGAAAGAAAAAGAGCATGCTCAAACACTAAATCATGCATAAGTCAGAAAAAAGTACATCACTTTTTCAGGAAAGGACAAAAGTTCCACAGCTATAGGATCAGAAAAGGACACAAAGTTTCCTAGGACTCTGCTATATTCAAACATAGCTACTACTAGAGCAAGGAAACTTCATGCATTGTCTATGAACGGGAAGTAACATTTAATGCACGAATTTGAGCATAAAATGAGAAGATCAAACTAGTCGTGAACGACTATATTTGCTTCAAAGGATAATTGCAACGCGCAGATTTCACAAGACTATATATAAGCCTCAACATCAAACCTTGAGAGGTTGGCTGTTTGGTCCAAAATAGTGCAAGCGTGAAGAAGAGCTATACTCAGCCCATGAAGTAACAAAAATTAGAGAAAGAGCAAATATACTCAAATGTACCTTAGTGTAATTCTCTCAGTAAACTAAGGAATCCTAAATGTGTACATCTTAGAAAGAAAAACCTTAGTGAGTGTAGATCATGATAGGCTCCTTACTTCCATGGTGTGTTCTTTGGCTTCCAAGGAGGAGCTCCCTCTTTCTCCACGGTCTAGGAAGAAGGATGATGGTTGGATGTTCCTCAAGGGTGGTGGAAAAACAATATTGAAGGGTGGAGGTGAAGGTGGACGAAAATGGAGGTGGGAAGGTGGAAGGTGTTTTTGGTGCTCTTGGCTAGCTCTCTCCACCAAGGGTTAGTGGAGGCCACTCAAGGGAAACTCAAACTATCTTTAGGGTAGAGAGGAGAGGAGGTTGGGCATGAGGACCCTAGGAGACTAAGGAAGGATTTTGAGGCACAAAGGCTCACTCAAAATGCATATATTCCAAAATGGGTACAAGGTGGAGGGACTAGAGTACTTATAGAGATAGGAGAGCATCCTAGGGTTTCTTGGGAGCATTTGGCCAAAACTTTCAAGCCCAAATGCATCCTAAATGAACCCTAGATGCAGCCCAAATGAAATGGCTCTCATCTCTCCAAAAAGACTAAAGTACCCTTAGTCCTAGAAAATGAAAGAAATGGACTTTTGACCTTACTAGTCAAGGTTAAGTCCCTAAATAAATCCTAAGCCTATTTTTCGATAATCAACTCCATGTTCTTGATTGTAGCCTTTCACAACTAGCCTTGCTTTGAACTTGTCAATTTCTCCTTTTTCATTTAGCTTTGTCTTATAAACCCACTTCACACCAATGGTTTTTTGCCCTTTAGGAAGATCTGTTAGCTCCCATGTCCCATTTTTTTCTATAGCTTGAATCTCCACATCCATGGCTTTTTTCCACTTTTCTTCTTTTACTGCTTCTGCAAATAGTATAGGATCAGAACCTGTAAATAAGGCGAAATGAGCAGCAGTGTCCTCATCAGATAATTCATCTCCACTCACATAATCAATCATCCAAGATGGTCTTTTCCTTTGTCGTTGTGGTTCTAAGACAGATTGTTGATCTTCATTTGGAACTAACAAAAGGGAAGAACAACTTAAAATGGTCAAGTTCCATATGAGGAGAGCCCAGGACAGGATGAAACAATTAGCTGATAAAAGCAGATCTGAGAGGACATTTGAGGTAGGGGACTTGGTGTTTGTCAAACTACATCCCTATAGACAAGTTTCTGTGGCTTTTAGAGGCAATGCTAAATTGGCTCCTAAATACTATGGACCATATACTGTGCTCGACAAGATTGGCTCTGTGGCCTACAAAATACAACTACCTGCTGGATCATCAGTACACAATGTGTTTCATGTGTCCCAATTGAAGAAGTTTGTAGGAACAGCCAGCACATCAACTCACTGTCCAATGACTGATGAAGAAACCAGGATCAAGGAGCCAGAAGCCATTATAGAAAGGATGTCAGTAAAAAGGGGCAACCAGGCTGTGACTAAGGTACTGGTTAAATGGAAGCATCTGCTGCCAGAAGAGGCTACTTGGGAGTTCCTCTTTGACTTGAAGAAGAGGTTTCCAAATTTCAATCCTTGAGGACAAGGATTAGCTTAAGGAGGGTGGATTGATACAGGAACCTGTATAAGACTCCAGCTAGGATCAGCCCTATTAGTAGTTAAATGTAGAGGAACCAAAAGTGCATCTAAGCCAAAAACAAAAATTACAACATTAAACTAGTCATAAATTACTGTATATAATAGTAATAATACCCTAAAAAGGATAAACAGATGCCAGATGAGCACATGTACATTATTAACCAAAAAAGCAAGGAGAAATATCTAAAATGCATGAACTATACAATATGAGGTTTGTGCAAGGATAACTCCATGAGTTAATGATATTAATTCTGTATAATAACATCATATTAATTATCTTACATAACATAACATATAGTACAAATGATTGTTAATTGAAATATTGAATAAGATAGGTAGGAATTCTTCATCATACACTAGTTGACCAATTGATTTTACATAATGGCATTATTACCTAACATCACTTCCTTTACGAAAGATTCGTATAGATGGATACCCTTGTATGTGATTCCTGGAAAATGATAATGAGATACATATGAATGGCAAAAAAACATAAATGGAGAATAACAAGTTCAATAAGCGTTTTTGTAATGGAGACTGATAGCAAAACCAAAAATTCAAAGGTTTGAACTTTACAAGAATCATTACAAAAATCACAAGGGCTAAGAGTGAAAACTAGAATATTTGCGAGAATGGAAAAGGTATTTAAGCCCCCTTCTAACTAATTAACAAACAAACTACTCTAACTGGAGCTTACTTGTTTCCCTTCTCTATCCCCCAACTCTGAGTAAAAGAAAAGAACATAAACTAAGAAGAATGCAACATCACAATGATATTTCCACATCTTGGCTTTGATTCCCAAACAATCAATTTTTACTTTTTAACAGAGAGCCATTAACTATCAATTCACTTTATTTACAGAAGTACCTCGCCTTTTTCTTTAATATGTATCAAAAAGTTTAATTGACACAGAAACTAACCTCCAGTTTTGTCAACAAAAAAAAAATCCGTGTTTTGCAGATAGAAGCACAACGTGAATCTCAATTCTCAACTCTTGGTGATAAAAGAAAGAAGAAGGGAAGAAAACAAAACAAATGAAAAATAGAGAAAATATAATTGTTTCCTGATGATGTTTAAATATAACAAAACAGAGGAGAAAGAAAGTAAAGATACTGCAAAAATTTTGAATTTAAGAACCATAATTTAAAAAAGCATCCCAAAAAATTATTAAAAAAGTAGTATAATGTAATATCATGGTAGTAAGTATCGCACGATTCGCGATACGTATCGTACGATACGATACGATACAGAGCCTCCGCGATTCGAATCGCATGTAGAATCGTTTTTGATTACGAATCGTATGCGAATCGCTTGAATCGTGTTCGGAATCGGAAAATCGCGATTCATAGGAGAAATCGCACGATTCTGAACATTTTGGGTCACCCCCGAAACCGGGTCGGGTCACGCACGACCCGGTTCTAAAAACCCTAAAAAAATGATTTTTTAAAAAAAAAAAAAACGAAATGAGACAGAAACTCCCGCTTAGACTCCCTGTACATGACCCACTTAGTGGGTTTCACTTTTTGTGGTCCATTTGCATAGATGGATACCCTTGTATGTGATTCCTGGAAAATGATAATGAGATACATATGAATGGCAAAAAAACATAAATGGAGAATAACAAGTTCAATAAGCGTTTTTGTAATGGAGACTGATAGCAAAACCAAAAATTCAAAGGTTTGAACTTTACAAGAATCATTACAAAAATCACAAGGGCTAAGAGTGAAAACTAGAATATTTGCGAGAATGGAAAAGGTATTTAAGCCCCCTTCTAACTAATTAACAAACAAACTACTCTAACTGGAGCTTACTTGTTTCCCTTCTCTATCCCCCAACTCTGAGTAAAAGAAAAGAACATAAACTAAGAAGAATGCAACATCACAATGATATTTCCACATCTTGGCTTTGATTCCCAAACAATCAATTTTTACTTTTTAACAGAGAGCCATTAACTATCAATTCAATTTATTTACAGAAGTACCTCGCCTTTTTCTTTAATATGTATCAAAAAGTTTAATTGACACAGAAACTAACCTCCAGTTTTGTCAACAAAAAAAAAATCCGTGTTTACATCGAGGCATAGTTAGGCTTAGTTTAGGATGTTATTTCCATTAACTATTTGAAAACTCGGTTTTATTTCTTGTAATTTCACTAATATGTTATTTGGATTAAGTTTATGAATGTGAACTCTTTACCCTTATGTGGTTGGAGATTTGGTTTTTAATGATGAAGAATTTTATTTTTATAATTATTGTATATGTATGTTGGGGTAGAGGGTGTCACATTTAGTGGTATCAGAGCAGGTCGATCCAATCGGTCATGAGTTATGAGTCTGCTATGCTTGTTTGGTAGGTGAATTGATTGTGGAACTTATTGATATGCTAGTGTGATGAACGATTATATTTGTTAATTGTGTGTACTATTTTCTTAGATTATGGCTGGTAGAAATGATCGTGCGATTGCTGATGCCCTTCAAGTGTTAGCACAAGCTATGAGTAATAACGATAGGGCTGGAGTCGCTCCTAAATGGTTGGAGCAATTTCAGTGAAATCATCCATCTACCTTCAAAGGAGGATATGACTTAGATGCTTCTATGAATTGGCTAAAGGAGATCAAGAAGATCTTCAATGCCACGGAGTGTCCCCTCGCTCAGAACGTGAGGTTGGCTACCTTCATGTTGACTGTTGATGCCCACTTTTGGTGGGAAGGTGCACTTTAGAGGATGATTGATGGAGGGGTGCACTTGAATTGGGACAACTTCAAGAGGGTCTTCCTTGAGAAGTACTTCCTGGATGATGTGAGGAGTCAGAAGGAAGTGGAATTCCTTGAGTTGAAGCAAGGGAATGACATAGTGGCAGAGTATGCTGCCAAATTTGATGTTTTGGTTTGCTATTGTACTCACTACCATGGTGAGGGTGGTGAAAGAGTTAAGTGCATAAAGTTTGTAAATGGTTTGCATCCTGAGGTGAAGACTGCAATTAACTATCAGGAGATCTATCACTTTTCTACTCTGGTTAACGAGAGTAGCATCTACGATCATGACAACCATGCAAGTGCTGCTTTCTACAAGGGAGCGGGAGGTCCTATGCGTTTTGTAAGTTCTAGTGCTTCGAGTAAGAGTAAACCTTACTCTACTCCTGCTTAGTTCCAAGGGAATCAAGTTGCTACTAGTGGGAGCAAGTCACATGTTGCAAGAAGCAAGCCTTATGCTGGAAGATCTGTGGTGAGTGGCATAGGGAGTGTTGGAGGCTTTGTTTCTACTCCCACGAATCGATGCAAGAAGTGTGGGCGACGTGGTCACACTAGCTATGAATGTCTTGACAAGGATGTCACATGTTTCAATTGTAGAGGAAAGGGTCACATTAGCACCCAATGTCCTGAAGCACCAAGACCACGTGCTACAGGATCGGATGTCCAAGCTGAGTGTCCAAAGGCTACTGGGAGAGTATTTTCTCTTAGCGGTGCTGAAGCCGCTCAGTTTGAAAATCTAATACAAGGTACTTGTTTCATAGTTGGGACTCCTTTTATTATATTGTTTGATTATGGTACAACTCATTCCTTTATTTCTGTTTCTTGTGTCCAAAAGTTGGATTTGCCTGTGTCTTGTTTAGATTTTGATTTGATATGCATGTATGTTGATACGAGGATAGATGACCTTATGGATAAATTAGTGGCTGTTTGTGTGACCTTAAGGTGTGATATCATCAAATTGGAGTTGAGAATGAGGATATATACTAGACAGTTTTATGCTAAGTTATTTAAATATAATTTTTGATTGTATGAAGTTAGTTTTCTAGGTCTTGTAATTTCTATCAGAGGTATAACATAGATCTATCTAAGATAGAAGTTATGCTTAAGTGGGAGATAACAAAAGTCAATCAGTGAGGTTAGGAGTTTTCTTAGGTTAGTTCTTTGTTATTGGAGGTGTATTGCAAGAGTTTCTAAGATAACATTACCTTTGAGTAAACTGACTAGGAAGAGTGTTATCTTTGTGTGGGATAAAAAGTGTGAGAGTAGTTTCCAAACTCTTAAGGAAAGATTGATTAGTGTTAATATTACTGGATGTAAGTAAGTTTTGTGGTATATAGTGATGCTTCTAAGATGGGTTTGGGTGGAGTGTTGATGCAAGAAGGAAGGGTAGTAGCTTATGTTTTTAGGCAATTGAAAATTCATTAGAGGAATTACCTTATCCATGACTCTAAGTTAGTGGTTGTAATATTTATACTAAGATTTGGAGACACTACCTATATGATTCTAAGCTTGAGGTAATTAGTGATCATAAGAGCCTTAAATATCTTTTGACCAAAGGAGTTAAACATGAGACAAAGGAGATAGTTGGACTTTCTTAAGGAATAAAATTTTGATCTTATTTGTTATTTGGGCAAAGCCAATGTGGTGACCAATGTTTTGAGTTGGAAACATTTATATTTACCTTCCCTTATGATTAGAGAGATGGATCTTTGGGCTCAAATTAAGGATTCAAGTTTGACTGCTGAGATTACTCCTAGTAGTTTGAAACTAGGTATGATTCGAGTAACAAGTGGATTGTTGAAAGAAATTGGAGAAGCATAATTAGTTGATTCATTTTGGTGAAAAGATATGCGGATATAGGAAATGGTAATGGATAAGAGTTTGCCTTAAGTATAGATGAAGTGGTAAGACTTTGAGACCGAGTATGTGTACCTAGTGAACTCATGCAGAGGTGTTTAATCTTTAGAGAGGGTCATAAAAAGTAAAGCTAATATTGTGATAGATGCCTTGAGTAGGATGATCATTCATCTATTGTTTTTGATGATGTAAGGGTTGGATTTGATTGAGGAGGTTAGAGACTGAAGCATGATGTGTGAGCTCACCCTTAAGAGCATTGGATTGAGTATGTTGGAAAGGACTAATCAATTAATGAATGAGATTAGAGAAGCCCAGGAGTTAGATCCTTTCTTAGTGAACCAAGTGGAGATGATTGGTAGGGGGTATAGATAGCCCTTTACGAGTGAAAGTTAATTGTGTTTTGGTGTTTAAGGATAAAATCTAGGTTCCTAGTAATCCCGAATTAAGAAAGATGATCTTAGAGGAAGGACATAAGAGTACTCTTAACATTCATTTAGGAGCTACTAAGATGTATCAGAGTGGCGTAGCAGAATCATGGTGGCCTAAGGTGAAGAGAGGAGTAGAGGAATTGTGTACTCATGTGTAGTATGCCAGAAATCTAAGGTAGAACACTAGAAGTCTCTAGGATTTTTACAGCCTTTAGACGTCCCATTCTGGAAGTGAGATAGTGTGTAGATAGACCTTGGTTGTAGGTTTGCCTAAAGATGCTTAAGAATTTGATTCTTTTTGGGTTATAGTGGATAGACTCACCAAGTTTGCTTGTTTTACCCTTATTGATATAGATATTCCTTAGAGAGATTGACAAATTTGTACATCAGTGAGGTAGTGAGGTTACATGGGATCTTTTACTAGTATAGTTTCTTACGAGAAATGTTTAGGAAAGTGTTATTTGGCAGTAGAGAGCAAGATCCATGAAGTTTATCCATTCAGGTTTTCGGTAAATTTCGGGGATGAAATTTTAAAAAGGAGGGGAGAATTGTAACACCCCGATTCTCACAGATTATACAAAGGCTTAAAGCCCAATATGGGTGATTTAGTAGCCTAGAACGGACCATTCCCAAACTAGAACCGGCCGTTCCAAACTACTAAAAAGACCTATTTTTGGTAGCCCAGAACGGGTCATTCCCAAACTGGAACGAGCCGTTCCAAACTACTAAAATGACCTATAACCATAGTTGGGACGGGCCGTTCTGGTTTAAGAACAGGCCGTTCCAAACATGGTCGTTATGTGTTAAAACTAGTAACCCCAGAACGGGCTGTTCTAGTTTAAGAACGGGTCGTTCTAGATGTGAATTTTACTCATGATGAATGAGTCCATAACGGGCTGTTTTGAATTTGAAACGGGTCATTTTGGCCACTCTTGACATCTATAAATAGCAGACTCTAGCACTGCTTCTGGACACACTCTCTGAAGCCCAAGGAGAACCAAGAGAAGGAGATCAACCAGATTCCGCTCTAGCTTCGTCTTCTGCTTATCCAAGTAAGGGGGAAGTGAGAAACCTCGCTTGAGATATGGGAATAATTGTTAGGTAATAGGATTGGCCCTCAATCCCTTGCCTGATGCATACTTCTAGGAACGAGCAAAATATGAATGTTTTCTATTTTGCTTTCTGAATGTCTCGTTGTGTTCCTTGTTTGATGTTGAGTGTAAAGATGTGTTTAATTTCAAAAATAGATAAGTTCTAATATGAATTAGAGTGCTATGTGGATTCCTAAAAGAACCCTATGAGAAACAGGCAAAATGTGAATGTTTTCTGTTTTGCTTTCTGATTCTTCTGTTATGTTCACTACAACAAAATTTAGTATTACCGACAATTATTTAATGGCAATAAATTAATTACCTCTATTTTATTATTTAATAAAAATATTAATGACTATTATATAATGGCCACTAAAAATGTATTTACATCACATCAAAATTTACTATTAGCGACAATTATTTGTTAGAAAAAACTTAAGTCTCACATCAGCTAGAAATAAAATAATTAAAGAGTATATAAGTGAATGATAACTCTCACCTTACAAGTATGTTTTATAAGGTTGAGTTAGGCCTATAACTTACTATTCTAAGTTGGTATTTAGGAGATAAGATAATTAAAAAAATTAAAGAATATATACTTAGAAGATAACCTTCATCTTCTAAGTCCCACATCAATTAGAAATAAGGTAACTAAAGAGTATTTGTACTCATCTTACAAGTCCTACATCGACTAGAAATAAGATAATTAAAGAGTATTATAAATCTTTTCTTAAACTTTTAGCAGCAATTTTATTAAATGTTAGTAACAAATGACACAAAAAGTTATACATTTTTCCCGACCATTATGAGGGTCTTTACTAGTATATAAAATAATTGTCGATAAATGTTTTAGCGACACTACATACAATGGCTAATGTGTGAAATGCCGGTAAAAGATTTTGTAGCAATTTTTATTGCCACTAAAAATCATATTAAATGCCACTAAAAGTCCATTTTATTGTAGTAGTTCCTTGTTGAATGAGATGTGTGAATATGTGGTTAATTTTGAAAATAGACAAGTTTTGATATGAATTAGAGTGCTATGTGAGTTCTTGTGAGAAACCCTATGAAGTAAAATTAGGAATATTCTTTGGATGATTTTGAGGCAATATATGTAAAATTGATGATGGCTTCATGTTTTGGATAATTACTTGGTATGATTTATGTATATACTATGAGAAGTTTCTTGCATGAGACTATGTGAACATGATGTGAGAATGTGAAAGGTGAACGTATGATCTGTGATATAATATTGACAAATAATGTGACATGAGATATGATGAGACGTGATAAGTAAAATGTTGAGTCAATGAAATAGTGGATGTGTGACATGCATCATGTGCATATATAATCTATTCTAGGTGTGCCGCTTAGGCCGCACACCGCTGATGTGACAAGCTAACAAGGTGTACCTTAGGGTCACCGGTGATGTAACAATCTAACAAGGCATACCTTAGGGTTACCAGTGATGTAACAGGCTAACAAGGTGTACCTTAGGGTCATCGGTGATGAAATGATGAGAAATGTGAGTATGAGACACGTGACTGGCACCACATGCATTTATGAGTTGAGACCATGACATCATTGCATGATAAATAAGTGTAAATGTGATACTGATTATGTATGTGTCTTGTTTATGTGTGATTGGTGTTTGTAACTTGTAATATGTTTGTTGTGTGTGTGTGTGCTATCTAGCCTTTGTTTTTGTACCTGAACCTGAGTGAGATGTTTCTCACTCCCTTGTTGTTATTTGTATGTGTTTAAATTGTGTTGCAGGTGATCATCAACATGAGGATGTTGGTGATGAGACTTAGGCTTCAGTTAGGCATGCTTTGATAGGATGTGTGACATCCGGGCATAACGAGGCTTAGTTTAGGATGTTATTTCCATTAACTATTTGAAAGCTCAGTTTTATTTCTTGTAATTTCACTGACATGTTATTTGGATTAAGTTTATGAATGTGAACTCTTTACCCTTATGTGGTTGGAGATTTGGTTTTTAATGATGAAGAATTTTATTTTTATAACTATTGTATATGTATGTTGGGTAAGAGGATGTCAGATATGGATGATTAACTCTTTTTTAAAACAAAAACTATATCGTTTTTGCTCTTCTTCTATTTCTCTTTCTCGCTTTCTCACACGCTCTCTCACTCCCCCTCTTTTTTCCTCATCCCTCTCCCTCTCTCTCCTTTTATTTATCTTTCTCTCTCTCACTCTCGCTCTCTCTCTTCCTCTTCCTCTCTGTCCCTCTCGCTCTCCCCCTCCCATCTCCCTTCCTCCCTCCTATATCTTTATTTTTCTCTCTTTCTTGTATCTCATTATTTATTGACCTTGTCAATTTTAATAATATTATTTAAGTCTATTTTGTTTCTACATTTTAATAGTATTAATTTGCTAACACTTATTTATTTATTTATTCTTTATTTAAAAGAAATGAAATAATATATTTTATTCTTCTTAGTTATAATGTAACATTTTTTATTGAATTATGTATTTAAATTATTTTAATAAGTTTTCAAATTTTTTAAATATTTGAATATCATATTTATAATAATATTTGAGTAAATAAATATATATAATAAATTTATTTTAATAAAAAATATTTCTATAAAAAATATTTACAAGCTCAGGAATATACTATTAAAGCCAAACATAAAAATCTTTAATTCTCGAAAATCATTTATAAATATTCTTTGAAACTTTTATGAGTAACTAAATATATTTTAGTTATTATAATAGATCATGATTCCTAGGTATGAAAAGACTTCTTATCTCAAGACCCCTAAGAGTAAGTCTATTTATACTTACTTCACTCAATAATTCATGTTCTCTATCAAATTTTAATATTTCAATCAATAAATTAGAAGTTTTTAATTAATAAATTAAGTATGCAAATTTTTTTAAAATTTAAATTATTTAATACTCTGTAGGTCTATATTTTTAAAATTTTTAAAATTAAATAAAAACTCATGTTAAATAATAAGGTGTGATTAAGAACTTGAATAATTAAAAATAATTAATTTATTTAAATGATTATATAAGTAATTAATTTGCTATATTTATATTAAATTTAAACAAGAGTTGACATCTCGTCAAATTTTTAATTTATTATATTTATATTAGATTTAAACAAGAGTTGACATATCGTCAAATTTTTGCTAAACAGGAGAATCTTTTTCTCTACTTCGCGCGCTAACTTATACTTTATTCAGTATCTGTGTTACATATAACTAGGGAAAAAAACACTTAACACTTTTTTATTCTTTAAATAAATTAAAATAAATAAATAAACAATTTTATGATGGATAGTTAGGTGAATAATTATTTAAAAAGAATAAAAAAATTGAAAAAAAATATTGATAAAAAAAAGTTATTTAACTTTATGAAAATGATTCATATAAAAATGAAAATTAAAACAATTACTGAAGTTATATAATGTTATATATATATATATATATTTTTTTTTTTGAAATATATGTATTACGTCAATTTTATTTTATAAGAGTTAAGTATCAAATCATCTTGAGTTAATATAAAATTTTGTATATATGATCTAAGAGTAAAAAATTTTCAATCTGACGGTTGGATTTATAAAATTCACATTTAAGATAAAGTTATTGAGTGGTGTAATACTTAATAAAAATTACACTAGTATCGTTTGAACCCACCTCATTTTAATATTCAATAATTTAAAAAAAGTTATTGATATTATGTCAAGATTGAAAAAGAGGAGAAGAGGTAGGGGAAAAGAGGGGAAAGATGAGAGTAGACAATGAGGAATGAGAGAAAGGGAGAGAGAGAGAGAAGAAAGAGAAGAGTACTATAAAAAAATATCATGACATAACCTTATAGTAACATCATACCTGTCATTAAAAATTATTTGTACCTACAATATACATATAATATATATTGATACTCCCTCTGTTTTTTTTTCATAGTCGTTTTGTCAGAGTTTGTTATTTTTTTTTCATTGTCATATTACTAAAATCAATGAGTTATTAATTTTTTTCTTCCATTTTTACCCTTGATAATTAATACGTATTTATTAATATAAAATTTTGTATATATAATTCAAGAAATAAAGAATTGTCAATTTGACAATTAAATTTATAAAATTTATATTTAATATAAAGTTATTGACTAGTGTAATATTTAGTAAAAGTTATACCAGTTTCATTTGAACCTTTCTATATATATATATATATATACTATTCCTAAGATAAATAGCAAGTATTATTTTATATCATGAAAATGAAACTGAAATTTTCTTTCAATACTTTCTTTTTAACAGTTTTTTTATTATTAACTAAATTTTATTATTTTATTGAGTCTTTTATTTTATTTTATTTAATTAATAATTTTTTTTTATAAAAATGATCAATTAAATTCTTCAACAAAAATTAATCATTAACTAAAAAAAAATATAAGCATATATTTTGAACTAATAAAATAATTATTAAAAATAAATTATTCAATAAGTCTCTCATAATTTAAAAAGAGAAAAATGATTATATAATAACAATGTAAAATATTTTTGTTCAATTATTTAATTACAAATCATTTTTTATTATAAACTATTGACTTATATAATAACTATCTTAAAAATATGTAAATTAATGTCCACTTTGATTGGTTGATAGCATAAAAATATTTTAAATTAACACCATATCATCATTAAATTCATCTAATAAAAGTATTTATTATATTATACTTTTTAATATATTTAACAAACAAAGAATTATATTTATAGAGCGTAGAAAAGAATGTAATAAGTATTGATTGTTTTAAATAGAGGCCTATAGTTTGATTTATATAAAATTTGACTCCATTTAATAAAAATGTTAAATTTATATTTTTTTTAAAAAGGTTGACTTAGATTTATAAAAAGGTCTCTTCAATCTAATAGGTTAGTTTATTTATTTATAATATAATAAATAATTATTATCTATATTATATTATTAAATATATAATTAAATAATTATAATGTAAAAATTAAATTATCATTTTATTGTATTTAAATATTTTACATTTCTTGCTCGATCAAATTTGAAATTACAAAAATTCTAGTACCTCTTTATTTATTTTTTTCTATCATCTTCATAGTTAATTATTTAAAATATTTTAAATGGGATATAAAAAATATTTAAATTTTTTATAAGATTATCCTTTTTCATCATTGTTTGTGTATAAGTGTACATTAATGTACATGAGTATAAGGATAACAACATGATAGAACATGACTGTCACTTGTTCCATTTAATGCAGGTATCCATGAATTATTTTTTTGATATCTGCATGTATCCATGAGAATTTATAGATATTTGATAAAATATACTTTTAAATAAAAGGATAAGAAATAAAATAAAATAAAAATAAATAATTATAAAACATATTTATATTAAAAAATAATTTTATAACATATATTTCTATTAAAATAAATAATTATGATACATTTTTTATTGGACAAATATTTTAAACCAAATTATTGTATATATAATTAAAAAGTATTTTTAATTTATTTAAAGTGGAGAATTTTATTGTCCGTCTTTATCCTATTACTATGTAGGTATCTGTTTAAAATTTATAACGATTTTATCTATATATACAAATTTTTTTATTATCCGTCCCTTAAGTTAGTTTTTTTTTTTTAATTTTAAAATCTAAAATTTTATATAACACGTAAAATAAAAGATGATTGTCGCGCATACTTAAAAATATTGACTTATTAATTTAATTTAAACTTAAATTTGTTAAATTATTTAACATTGTTAATTAATGTGAAATAAATGAATAAGTTAAATCAAATCAGAGTTTTAATAATCTTAGACATAACAAAATTTATAATAATTAATAAATTGAATTTAAACTTTATTTTTTATAAAATAAACTCTTATAGTGAATAAATATCTCTCCAAGTTTAAGTGAATTATTCTCTCTCCAAGTTATAAATAACTAAATTTTGATATATTTATTTCACTTAATAACTTATGTTTTATATCAAATTTTAACGATATAACTGTTAAATTAAAAATTTTTAATGCATAAATTAAGTTTATAAATTTTTAAAAAATTTTAAAACTATTTGATATTTTGTTTCATGAATTCAACTTGATGAATAATTATAAAAATATTTTATATGTTATTTTAATTTATATAAAAAAATATTAAATAACTTTTAAATTTTCAATAAATTTGTAGACTTATCTATAAATTAAAAATTTTTAATTCAATAATTGTGTTGAGTTTAAATAAATTTACTCTTAAAATAAACGAACTCCTCCACACATAAATATATATATATATA